CTGGGGTATGGGGTTCACCTGAGGCTGGGCCACGGGATCCAGTGGTGGCTGGGGCATGGGGTTCACCTGAGGCTGGGCCACGGGATCCAGTGGTGGCTGGGGCGTGGGGTTCACCTGAGGCTGGGCCACGGGATCCAGTGGTGACTGGGCTGTGGGGTTCACCTGAGGCTGGGCCACAGGATCCGGTGGTGGCTGGACCTCTGCTGTTAGAGTTGGGCTCTGAGAGGCCACCTGTGTCTGTGGCTCAGCTGGTGTGAAACTGCCTGGCTGCTCCTCGCAGAGAGCTGCAGCGAAGGAGGAAAGTATGGTGCGCAGTACAGCTCGAAGGTTAGCGCTGGCCATGAGGCAGAGGAAGGGGCTCAAACAGCTGTTGAGCAGAATCAGGTAGTCAGAGTAGACCAGGGCCTCCCAGAGCAGGTAGCCGGGGTAGATGTCCCACAGGAAGGCCAGGTAGAGCAGCTGTGCCAGCTGGTAAGGCAGTCGCAGGACCACGTAGGCTGACAAAATGGTCTTAGCCACACGGGCAAAGCCATGGCAGGCCAAGGGCTGAGGCTGCTGGCGGCGGCACGTCCGGCAGGCTGCAGCCTGGGTGAGCATGTGGCAGACGGACAGCAGGAGGAATGGCAGGAAGCCCCCCAGGATTTCAAGCATCCGCAGGGGCAGCTCTTCACTGTCCCAGAAGTCCAGGCAAATGACCAGGTCGTACCACCAGATGGTGGCCTCAGGAAAAACCAGCCAGGGCACACTGAAGAGTGTGGCCAGCACCCAGACACCAGCGCAGACCCAGAGGGGTAGGCGGGCTGGGCGGTGCCCAGGGTACCAGTGTGGGCACAGTGCCAGCAGGCAGCGGTCCAGGCTGAGGGCTGCCAGCAGGAAGAGGCCAGAGGAGTAGGACACACCCCACAGGAAGTAGTAGAAGCGGCAGGCGGCTGTCCCCAGCGGCCAGTGCCCTCCATGCTGGACCTCCAAGATCTGAAAGGACGCTGCTGCCAGGAACAAAAAGTCGGAGAGGGCCAGGCTGAGTAGAAGCAGGGCCAGTCTCTTGCCCGCCCCATGCCGGGCCTGTGAGCCAGCCAGCCATGCCATCAGCCCATTAGCTGGCAGCCCCAGGAGCAGCAGGGCCACAAGGAATACTGTGTCCCAGCCACCCTGAGGGTAGTAGTCCTCATCATCGAGCTCTGTACGGGGCCTGAGGCCAGCAGCGCCCAAGTTGGCTTCCATAGCAGTGTCCATTTGGGGTCCCCAGTGTACTGCTGGACACGGACTGGGTGCCTGGTGAATCAATGAATGCAGGAATGACTGAGTATGAAGGAGAGGGTGCAGTGCATCCAGGCAAATCCCTGTCCTTCTTTGGGCCATTATTGTCACCTTTTAGGTAGTCTGCCTGCACCAGGGATTTTTTTTTTTTTTTTTTTAGACAGGGTCTCTCTATGCATTTCAGGCTGGTCTTGAACTCACTATGTAGCACAGGTTGGCCTCAAACTCATAACGATCCTCCTGCCTCAGCCTCCTGAGTGCTGGGATTATAGGCATGCACTAACACACCCAGCTTTTTTTTTTTTTTTTTTTTTCCAGGGATTTTATTTTTGTTTTGTTTTGTTGTGGTACTGAGGGCCTTGTGCATGCTAGGCAAGCACTCTACCACTGAGCTATATCCCCATCCCTTGTCAGGAATTTTAAATAGACAACCTTATGTGGTCCTCCTACTACCCATTTTACAGGTGAGGAGAAGAAGCTCATTGAATCAGTGACTTGCTTAAGGTCAGAAGTAGCAAAGTCAGTTTCAAGACTCCACCCCAGATTTAAAAAAAACAAACCAACCCAGACTTAAGCATTGTGCCACATGAAATCTGTAACTAAGTAGACTAGAGACTTTTAAACTATTGGTAAAACTTGTGAATCTTGTTTAAATAAAGTATCGTGGGCTAGGTGTGGTGGTGTATGCCTGCAATGCCAGCATTTAGAAGGCTGAGGCAGTAGAACTGTCATGTGTTTGAGGCCAGCCTGAGCTACATAGTGAGTTCAAGGCTAGTCTGAACCGCACAGTGAGAGCCTATCTCAAAAAAAAAAAAAAAAAGTAAATAAAGTACAGTGGAACTTCTATATGAACTAAAAGGTGGTTTCAGATTACAGGCCAGGAGAGCACACTTAGGGCTCCAGGGAATAGTTTGAACATCATTCAGTGTTGGGCATGGTGACACATGCCTGTGATCCCAGTGCTGAGGGACTGAGGCAGGAGGATCCCTGTGAGTTCAAGGCCAGTTTGGGCTACATAGTGAATTCAAGATCAGCCTGAACTGCATAGTGAGACCCTGTCTCAAAAAACAAAAACAAAACAAAGAACCAATCAGTCAGCTCTTCACAAAAGCCCTTTACGCCTGATGGCCTTGGGTTCAAGGGTTTAAAATTCTAAGCAGGGAGGGCTCTGGGTCTAAAGGGTGGCTGGCAGCAGCAGGCTCTGGACCTTCAGAGAGTGGTTCAGAAATCTGGGGTGAGGTCTGAGCCCTAGGGCCCCGGCGGGCTGTGGCCAGTAGCCTGATCTGGGAGCAGCCCTTGCCTTTTAGCTCACCCGTGCCCCTTTCCTGCTCCCCAGAGCTCGGGGACAGGTGCCCTTACTTGTCCGTTATAGTTACTAAATAGAGCAGCGGGGAGAGGGACTGGCAGGACTGGTGAGGGCAAGGTGGTCTGGGGGCACCCAGGTCCAGGGCCCAAGAGGTCCACTCTCTCCACCCCACCTTCCCCCAATGCCATGTCCCTCTGAGAGTGGAAGAGGGCCTCACAGGGCAACTAGGAGAGGGGCACGATGCCCCAGCAGGGCTGAATCCTGCCTGGGCCCAGGGCTATAGCCACCAGGCCATGAGCTCCAGGCCCTCCCCACCTCAGGCTCTCTGTTGGGCAGAGCCCCTTAAATCAGAGACCTGGGCACCCTCCCCAGGCCCCAGTGTGACACCTGGCTTACCTTGAGGCACAGGCTGATGGCTGGAAGTGAGGCGTGCTGGCCTGCCCAGTGGCCCGGCCGCCCGCCTGGCCCCCTGCAGGGACCTGCAGCATGGCACCTGGAGACGCAAAGGCGGCAGGGCAGGAAACCCAAGCTGAGAGGACATCAATCATTCATGGGGCTGCTCTCTGGGAAACCCTAACCCTGGCCCAGTAGGGCCAAGTGACCAGTCAGGGTCCTCCATGCTCAGGGTCAAACAGCTGAGCCCCCTCACACAGGGTCCTTCTGGCTCAGGGCGGGCTGTGTGCTCCCCAGGGTGCACCTGCTCCGACATCACCACCACCTCTCAGCTGGTATTTGAGACCTCTGTGTTGTGGCCTCGTCCCGTCTCGAAGGCCCTCTGCCCTATCCAGGATGTCATCCCCGGGAAGGCTGGCACTAGGCTGTAAGAGGCCTGCGCTCATCCACTGCCCGAGAAGTCTTCCTTGGTGCCCTCTGCTCAGCTGAGTCCTGCCTGAAGCATGGCTGGGTTGAGTGTGCAGCTCTTCAGCAATGTTCCCCCCATCTTACAGATGAACAAACTGAGACTCAGAACTGACTGCATCTCCCAGCTAAGGAGTGGCCAGGCTGGAGTCTCAAACTCATGGTGGCCATGGTGTTCTTTGCTGCTGAGGACAGTCCTGCTGTCCCACCTGGCTCTGTCCTGGCCACCCCAGGGCAGAGGGCAGGGATTAGGTCCTGGGCTGCCCACCTCACTTACCCTAATCCCCCACAGGGCCCGATCACAGGCAGTCACCTCAAAGACTGGGCACATAAGCAGCTTTGTGGCTCCTGAGAGCCAAAGGTGCTCAGGGGAGCAGCAGCCTTGAGCCCGGCTGTCTCTCCCCACATGGCCACAGAGCACAGCCCAGGCTCAGGCCCCAGCTCCCGGAAGCCCCCTGCAGAGGCTGTGACTCCGGGTAGTGGTGGCGAGGGGCCCCCCTCGACCAGGAGGAGGAGCAAGAGGGAAAAGCAGACCCGCGGGGCCCGGAAGGGCAGCGCCGGGGAGCAAATGCCTGTCCAGGACCCCGAGGCCCCAGGCAGTAGCAGAAACCCATCAAGGGCCAAAGAGAAGAAAGAAGAGCCATCCCCAGTGCCCCCTGGGCCAGCCTCTCGCAGACAGTCCCACCGGCGCCGTTCTGACTCCCAGCAGGATGCTGCTCAGAGGGCATATGGACCCCTGCTCAACCGCATGTTCGGGAAGGTCAGGGGGTACCTGGGCTGGGCTGAAGTGGGGATTGCTTCCCCGGTCTCAGCCCTACTGCCGCTGAGTACTTAGGTGCTCTGCCCCTTCTGGCCCAGCCTGGGGGAGCCTGAGCTGTGGGGGCAGGGATTAGGCAATGCAGTGCAGTGGGCAGAGCTGGGCCTCACACCAGGAACACCGAGGAATCTCTCTACTGGGGCTGAGGGGGCTTTGCCTGCTCTGGTAGAGCTGGTCCTGTGCAGGCTAGCCTAGGCTGGGGCTGGAGGAGGAAGGACAGAGCTGTGGCTGGCCTTGGGAACATGCTGGACTCTCTCCCTGCAGGACCGTGACCTGGGCCCCGAGGAACTGGAGGGTGAGTGGCTATTGGTGCTGCTGGGGGCTTGGCGGTGTCCCTGGCCACCTGGCCTGACCTCCCTCCCCCACAGAGTTGCAGGCTGCCTTCGAGGAGTTTGACACTGACCAGGATGGCTACATCGGCTACCGGGAGCTGGGTGACTGCATGCGGACGCTGGGGTATATGCCCACCGAGATGGAGCTCCTCGAGGTCTCGCAGCACGTAAAGATGCGCAGTCAGTGACCGAGCCCTGCAGCGCGGCTGGGGTGGGAGTGGCCCAGCTGTGCAGGGTAGGGGTGGGGCAGGCTGGCCCTGGTCCTTTCAGTGCCTGGGTACCCTCCTAGTTCAGGGGGCTCACTAAGTGGTAGCAAGAGGGGATCTCTAATAGTCATTTAGCGGTGACGGTGGAAGATGGTGGTGGTTTGGGGGGTACTGGCAGGGACATGGTCCCATCAGATGTAGGGACACCGAGTCCAAGCTCCAGGCTGTTGGTGTGGTGAGGTGGGCAAGGATGGCAGCAGGGTGATGCAGATGTGGCCCTTGGGCTTGGGTTAGGGACCAGGTCTTGGGAAGCAGTCTGGCCTCTGCATGCCTTCAGCCCTTTCACCTGCCTCTCTGGCCGAAGCCTCCAACTCACCTCTAACTCTATGCTAAAGGGCCCTCCCGCTTCTCTCTCACTGTGCCTCACTCTCTCTACCCTGGTGGCAGCTGCCTTGGTCCGAGTCAACAGGAATCTAGTCTCCATAGGCTCAGTGAGGCCTGAATGACAGAACCCTGGCCTAAGTGCTGAGCAGCCATTGTGTGGTTATCATTGGCTGGTCTGTCCTGAGGCAGATATCATATTCCCTTCCTCTGGGATGCTGGGTTTCTCACAATTTCTAAAATGGGCACGAAGTTTACACCTGCTATGGCTATTTGGTGTCAGGCTCCTTTTCTTTCCCCCAAAACTGCTCTCTGGCCACTGGTATCTTACAGGCTGACCACTTGGGGCCATGTCTGAAGGGCCACTCCCTGCTTTGTCCTGGGCCATGAACTCTCACCCTACAGCAACCTGCACAGTAGGTTCTCAGGCCCATCCTAGGACAAGGAAGGGGGGTTGATGAGCTACCTAAGGGCAAGCATGTCCTGGCATTTGAGCTAGGATTTGAACATGGGTTGTCTGCTGTGAAGCCTGGCCTCTTTTTCCCACGCCTCATCCTTTGCTGAGAGCAGGGCAATCCTCAGCACCCCCAAGCAGCTCTGGGTTTGGGACTCAGGCCTCCCACTCCCCAGTGGGCGGGGTCAAGGGTTCGTCCTCCTGGACACAGAGCACGGTGGGGGGAGGGGTGAGTTACCTTCATCTGTGACATCCCTCCCTGGGTCCACAGTGGGTGGCTTTGTGGACTTTGAGGAGTTCGTGGAGCTGATCAGCCCAAAGCTGAGGGAGGAGACGGCGCACATGCTGGGGGTGCGGGAGCTGCGCATCGCCTTCCGAGAGGTGTGGTGTGAGATGGGGGCGGGCACTGGGTGGCAGGGCTGGAGCCGTCAGCGCTGGGAGACTGCAGCCTCTGCCTTCAGGAGCCCAGAGCCCTGCAGGTGGAGGCCCCAGAGCCCTTCAGGTGGAGGCCCCAGGGCCTAGGGATGGGCAGAAAGAGTTCAGCTCCTTCCCAGTTGGGTACACCAACCAGGGACCCTTCTGGGGCAGGAAGACACTTCTCTCATCTTGGCCTGGGAAGATGGGGCAGGCTGGGGTGGGTTGCGACAGGCGGGGGTAGGGAGCATCTGGCCTATTGGCAGTGAGTGTCAAGAATGGGGCTGGGTACGGAGGTGACTTGGGGTGGGAGGAGCTGAGCCCTGCCTGGTTCCTAGTTTGACAGGGACAGGGATGGAAGAATCACTGTGGCAGAGCTGCGGCAGGCAGCACCAGCTCTGCTGGGGGAACCCCTGGAGGGAACCGAGCTGGACGAGATGCTCCGAGACATAGACCTCAACGGGGACGGCACCATAGACTTTGACGGTGAGTCCGCTTCCAAGCCTCCTCCCATCCCTCCAGCACTTGCTGCGATCCCTGACCTGGACTGGCCCAAGCTTTGCCCTTCTCTTCCCCAGAGTTTGTGATGATGTTGTCCACCCACTGAGGCCCCAGCAGGTGCCTCAAGATACCACCAGGACCAGGCTGCACTCAAGGAGGCTCCAGGAGGGCAGAGACCTAGCAGCCCCCAGAATACTTCTGCCCGGGGCTGTATCTTGCCCTAGAGTCTGTCTGTGAGATCACCCGCATTCTTCACCATCGCCACCCCCTGCTTGAGCAGCCTGGAGAAAATGTATGCTCAAGCGTCCACCAATCCCCACTGAGCAAGATCTGGATCTCTCTGCCCCCTTGGGAGGTAGAGAGTTCCTGGCACTGGCAGTATTTCAAATAGGGGCAATTTGGGGGGAATCCATAGTAATGCAGTGAGTTGAGAGGGTGGCCAGACTCGTCCCACTACTACAGAATTCTTAAAAAGTGAACTTGAAAGGAACGAGCCTAGGTCCCAAAGACCAAAGCTGGCGTTGTAGGAGGGAGCTGACCCCACAGGGGTTTCAGATCTAGAGAAAGGCTTGGGAGTCCAGGAGGCCCACAGTCCCACAGAGTCTGGGTGGCAAGAAATTAATCTCTGGATCCATTCCAGGGCCTCAGAGTGCTACCCTGTTCCTGGAAAGGGGAATGAAAAATACATTCCCACCAAACAGCCTGAGATGGTGGAGGGAGCAGATATTTAGGGTCCAGAGTGGAAACAAGTCACAAAGACAGAAAAGGGAAAGAAAGGAAAGGATGCCTTAGGCACGTGGAAATGTTTTGTTGTTGTCCTAAAGAAAGATAAGTTGATTAACCTTAAACTTCACTGACCATCTAAAAGTAACCATTAGGGTCTGGGATATAGCTCAGCAGCACAATGCCTGCCTGGAAAGTGCAAGGTCATGAGTTCAATTCCCATACCAATAAATAAATAAATAAATAAATAAATGTAACCATTAGTGACTGAGAGTGGTGGCTCACACCTGTAATCCCAGCACTAGGAAGGCTGAAGCAGGAGGATTACTGTGAGTTTGAGGCCAGCTCCAGCAACAAAGTGAGTTCAAGGCCTGCCTGAACTGAAAAAAACAAAAAACAAAAAACAAAAACACAGTCAGCTAGATTTTTGTGGCACAAACCTAAAATGCCAGCACTCTGGGAGTCTGAGGCAGAAGGATTATAAATTTGAACACAGTACAGGCAATTTAGAGACTTAGTGAGACTCTCGAGGAGAAAGTCCTGGGTTTCCCCAGTCCCAAAACAAAAAGTCAGATCTAGATATAATGGCACATGCCTGTAATCCTAGCACTCAGGAAGCTGAGGCAGGGGAACTGCCTGGAGTTTGAGGCCAACCTGAACTACAAGGCAAGATCCTATCTCAAACAAAACAAACCCCACAAGACATACACACACACACACACACACACAGAGAGAAACAAAAACACAAAAAGTCAAAGTTCTATTCCCAAAATAAAGTATTCCCATTAGGTTGTATTTCTTTTAACAGACATCAAAACAAAACAAACAATGCCCTTACCAGAATAGAAATTTATTTCTGCAGTAAGTCTACACGTTCATCAAGGACTCAGGTTCCTGGCCAGCTGTGCTGTCTTCCTAAGGTGTGCCCACATTTGTTTGTCTTCCTGGATGGAGGTCAATAAAAAGAATAAAAAGGTAGAGTATGAACCGCATATCCCATTAAGCAGGGCTCATCACAAGGTATATCTCCTTGCCAAGGATGCCAGGAAATGTAGTCTTTATTTGGGTGGTCATGTGCCCAGATACCTACCAGGGATTCTCCTCCTACAAGGGCAGATACAGAAAGGCAGATATCGGGCTCTGCCTCATAGCTGAATCTAGGCTATAGGAAATACACTCAAAGCATAAGGCCACTAGAAGGCTGAAAGTGGTGGCTTGAAAAAGAAACTAAGAAAATTAACCAAAAGAAAGATGGCACAGTGGGACATGGGGGTGCACGGCTATAATTCCAGGACTTGGGAGGGTGAAGCTGGAGGATTTTGAGTTCAAGGCCTGACTGGCCTACATAGTTAGACCATAGTTAGACCCTGTCTCAGAACAAAACAAAACCAAACAAAAAATTAAGTCACGGCCGGGGATATAGCTCAGTGGTGCAGTGCCTGCCTGGCAAGCAAAGGTTCTGAGTTTGATTCTCGGTATCCCCCTAAAAAAGTGAGTCACAATTCACTAAGGAAATTTGTATTCTCCTTTTTCCTCTTGCTCTTCCCCTGCTCCTCCTCCTCCTCTTCCTCTTCCTCTTCCTCTTCCTTCTTTTTCTCCCCTTTCTCCTTCTTTCTCTTCTTGAGACGAAGAGTCTTACTGTCTAGTTCAACCTGACTGTGAACTCAAGATCCTTCTGCTTTAGCTGCTAGGTTGCTGAGATTCACCACTACACCCAGCTTATATATATATGTGTGTGTGTGTGTGTGTGTGTATATATATATATATATATATATATATATATATATATATATTTTGTCTTTTTGAGACAAGGTCTTGCTTTGCAGTTTAGGTTAGCCTTGAGCTTACTTTGTAGCTCAGGCTGGCCTCAAACTCACAATGATCCTCCTGCCTCAACCTCCTGAGTGCTGGGATTACAGGCGCATGCCACCAAGCCTGGCTTAATGTATCTTCAAACTAAGATATATACAATATACTATATCTATAATATGTATTTAGAGTTTAGATCTTTATTATTCCCTGGGAAGTGCCGCTGTCAATCTCAGATCTGGGTTAGATAACGAAAAAATTCAAACTGTGCGCTGCAATTTAGCTGAGTTGTAGAATGATTGCCTAGCAGGGACAAGGCCTAGGTTCAATCTCCAGCACCAAAAAAATAAATATTTAAAAAAATCAAACACATTTAAACTTCAGCATTGAAGTGGATATGATGGTGATGCATGCCTGTAATCCCATATACTTGGGAGGCTGAGGCAGGAGGATGGCACATTCAAGGCCAACCTGGACAATTTAGGGACCCTGTCTCAAAATTTTCAAAAGCTAAAAAAAGAAGAAAAAAGTTTAAAAGCTGAGGATGTAGTTTAGAATAAAAGCCTTGAGTTCAGTCCCCAGTGCTGCCTGTCTTCACCACCAAAACTGCCGATCATGATGACACATACCTGTAATCCCAGTACTCTGGGAGGCTGAGGGCGGATTGGAAGTTTAAGCCCAGTGCAGGCAATTTAGTGACTTAATGAGACCCTGTCCCAAAATAAAAAATAAAAAAAGCTGGGAATGTAGCTCAGTGGGAAGTCCTTGGGTTCAAACCCTAGCACCGAAGAAAAAAGAAGTATAGGGAGCTGGGGATGTGATTTAGGGATTCCTGAGCTCAGTCCCTGGTGCCATAAAAACAAACAAAAGAACCGCCCCCCCCGCAAAACAAAACAAAACAAAACCCATGTACTTTGTAAGTGTTGATATCTGGAGTGAATAATAGATCGGGAAACTTTTTTTGAGTGAATAATAGATTGGGAAACAAAATTGGAGTGAATAATAGATCGGGAAACAAAACAAATCTGTAGAGGGCCAGAGAGTAAATATTTCAGATTTTGAGGATCACGCTGGGGTCCATATGGGGTGTGACTGTTCACCCAACTCTACTGTCACATTTGTAATGCAAAGCTGTCAAGGCCAACATATACACAAATAGGTGTCACCATGCTGGGAATTTAATGAAATCATTCATAAAGCACTGAAATTTGGATCTTAAATAATTTTATATGTCATGAACCCTTATTACTTTTCTTTTTTTCTTTTTGAGACAAGGTCTTGCTATATAGTTCAGGCTGGCCTTGAACTCACAGCAATCCTGCCTCAGCCTCCTGAGTGCTGGGACTACAGGCACCACCAAGCCCAGCCCCTGTTATCTCCTTATACTTTGACTTTTCCCCACCTATTGCAACATAGAAAATCCATGCTGTGGCCTATACTTGCTGACTCCGGATATACTGGAACTCACCACTTCTGAAATAACTGTTTAGCTAAGGTTGTAAAATGTCTGGGGAAGTAGCTCAGCAGAAGGGCACTGGACACACATGCATGAGGCCTTGGGTTCAGTCTCCAACACAAAAGATAATGGAATGAAGAACATGTTATTAGTAGTGACTCTGTTAACTGCCTATCTGCTGCTCACTTTTCAGTGAATAGCTTCTGTAATTTTTCTATTTATTTATTTATTTTTCGAGACAAGTTCTTGCTATGCAGTTCAGACTGCCCTTGAACTCATTATGTAGCCTAGGCTGGCCTTGAACGCGAGGTGATCCTCCTGCCTCAGCTTCCTGAGTGCTGGGATTACAGGTGTGCACCATCATGCCCGGCTGTAATTTTTCTTTTTCATGCTTGTTCTGTTCACATTTATTGAAATGTGATTTTTATGGGATTACTCTGATAATAGAAACTGTGGAGCCAGGTGTGGTGGCACACACCTGTAATCCCAGCACTGGGGAGGCTGAGGCAGAAGGGTTGCTGCGAGTTTAAGGCCAGCCTGAGCTACAAAGTGAGTTCAAGGCCAGCCTGCACTGCATAGTGAGACCCTGTCTCAAAAAGACAAAAAACAAAACAAAACAAACCTGTGGGCCTGAGCTGTGTGCTGTGGTAGTGCACATCTGTAATTGCAACACTTGGGAGGATTCAAACAGGCTGGGCAATTTAGTGACTTAGTGAGATCTTGTCTCAAAACAAACAACCCCCCCCCAAATTGGGGGGCTGTAGCTCAGTGTGAAGGCCCTGGGTTTAATCCCGGGGCAGGTTAGGGTGGGGTGGGTGACTTGGATTCTGTATCTTACTGTTTCTAGCTTTTCTTTTCTCTTACAGAAGTCTTGGTCCATGATAGATTAGAGGTGTAAACTGGTTCTTGCCCACAGCTAGTTTGGGAACGACTGGCTAAGGAGTTCATTCATCCAAAGGGGCCCCCCCAAAGTGCAGTGGTGGGTGCTGAGGGTGAATAGTTTAGGAGAACAAGAGCAAGAAGCTTGGGTGTTCATTCATTCACAAAGGCATGGAACTCTAAAGGCGCCCAAACAAACAAACAAAAAAGCCGGGAATGTTGGCACACACCCCTGTAATCCCAGCACTGAGAGGCTGAGGCAGGAGGATTGCCACAAATTTGAGGCCTGGGTTATATAGTTAGTTCAGGAGCAGCTTGAACTATACAGCAAGACCCTGTCTCAAAAAACCAAAACGTAAAAATAAATAGAAAAATAAAGTCGCCTACCATCCTGGAGCTGGATATGGTGGGCAGTCCTTTCCTAGTGGGACTTAGGCTTTAATCAGGAGATAATGTTCCTTCAGGTGTTCCAGGGCAGGGTCTGGTTCCTCTCCCTCTCCTCCTGAGTCACAGAAAGGGCCCTGGTTATGTTTCTGTCCACAGCCCACTGGCTGTCCTTGGATGAGTCAGTGCTTATCTGTAAAACAGGGTATCCACTTGGGTCTTGGGCCCCTCATCTGTATAATGGAGTTATGAGCCAGGCTTGGTGACACACACCTGTAATACCAGCACTGTAGGAGGCTGAGACAGGAGGATCACAAGTTCAAGGCCAGCCTGGACAAATTAGTGATTTAACAAGACTCTGTCTCAGAATATAAAACAGGGCTGGGGATGTAGCTCAGTACATAGGCCATGGGGCTCAATTTTTGGTACCACAAAATCAACAAATATATAAAATGAGACGGATTGAGCTAGTAAGGATTCTAATACATGGCCTGGGTTCAGGGTTTACTGCAAGGCCGGATGCCTTAGCCTTGTAGTTTGACAAATGGTTGCTATTATGAGCTCAGATTTCTGGGTTCCCAAAGATTCTATTTCTTGGTTCCCGAGATTCTGGGGTGTTTCGATTTTCCAAAAACTCGAGATGATCTGTTTCTGACGTTCTTTGGCTCCAAGTGTCTTGGATCACTGGGGCTCTCTGCCAGGAGGCCCTGCTTGCGTGCCCTCTGCCCCTGATTCTCTCAATTTCTAGCTGGGGAAATAGGGCAGTGGGGGAGGGGCCGGCCACGGCCTCTTCATGACCCACATTCAGGGCTGTCTGTGGCAGCCCAGGGCCCCAGAGCCAGGCTGGAACCAGGATAGCAGCCTCCAGGCCCCAGGCCTGCGTCATCTGAGTGCCCTTGGCCAGGGCCACCAGGACAGGTGCTAGGGCTGCCTTCCCAGGCAGGCAGGGCCCCCTGAATCCGCAGGGTTGGAGTGGAGGTAGGGGAGGTTGAAACCGCCTCTTCTTGACCTGGCTCTGTCCCCAATATGTCAAGCCCTTGGGCAAGTCTCGAGCATTGGAGTTGTCCTCAACACCTATGGGGAGGTCGGTGGCGCTTGACACCCTTCACACCCAGGGTCAGACCTTTTCCCACCTTTGTGGAAGGGTTAGGCCAGGAGTGGTGGCTCAGGAAAGTGCAACTGTCCCTGCTGGAATGTACTATCCTTTTATTAGCACAAAATAACATCAACCCAGTTGCCCCAAGGCCTGAGAATAACTTAAGGCACAGAGCAGGTGAGGGGTGGTGTTCCCAGCCGGGGTCTGCGTGCCCCAAACTTCCTGAGCAAACTCCTAAGGGGGCTGGGTGTTTCCACACTCCTGGAGGACCTTCTCTCTTGAGATGCGGTGAGCGGAACGGGTCTTGGGTCCGAGGAGCGCCCGGTGGAGGCGAAGCAGTGTCCTAGGGCTTGAATCGCAAGTGTCCGACTGCCTGGCTCACTTCTCGAAGTAGGGCAGGTAGAAGAACTGGAAGCCCCGGTGGCCTTTGACAGCGCAGTAGATGAAGACCACGTGGTAGACTGTGGGGCGGAGCCTGTCAGCACGAGGCCCCGCCCCACCCCGCCCTCCCCACGCCCAGCCCGCTCGCACCTCCGGGGATCAGCAACAGGAAGCCCGGCACGAAGAAGATGGCGCTGGAGACACCTGCTGGAGGGAGAGGGAGTGGCTCACGGTGGGAGGCCCTGAGCCGCCTGGGCCCGCCCCGCTCTCTGCTGAAAAAGAGGTGGATTTCTTCTGGGAGGTAGCTGGACTGGCCAAAGACCCAGGGGCACAGGTGTGGGGGCGCTCACCTGGAGAGGGGGCCACCTCCAGTCCCACGCCGACCAGGATCAGCACTGCACACAGATGGGGCCGCGGGGGTGGGGTGGGGGGTGAGGACTTGAGTGGGTGAGGGCTGGGCCTTCCATCCCCAACCTCCAGACCAGGCCCGAGGAATGGCGTCCCCCACCTCAGCAGAGACCCGCCCTGGAAGCTCACCAAGCTGTGTTTTCAGAGCAGGGCACTTGGAGGCCCTAGGAATGTTTGTGAAAGGAGAGACTTTTGCTCCTTGGTATGGACTGAAGTCATTCAGTAAACACTTATGGAACCCCTCCTGCATGACCGGTGTTAGGAATTCCACTGTGAAAGGCAGGAATGGCCCAGGCCTCGTGGCGCTTCCTTAGTAGAAGGACCACCAAGAACCTGAAGGCTATAACCCAGGTGATCAGGATATGGTGGGGGAAAGGCAGGGCGGTGTGAGAGCCCAGAGCTGCTGCCCCAGTGGGCGTGGAGGACCGGTGTGAGGCTGCATGGAGGCGGTGACATCTAAGTGGAGAAAGGGCAGCAGTGGCAAGAGCCATCAGCCGATACTGACTGCTTACCAGCCATGCCAGGCAGCGGGCTGAGCATGCTGCGTACACTGTCTTATTCATCACCCTGACAGGACACAGGTATAAAGGGAAACTGAGGCACAGACAGGAAGTCACTTCCCCAAGGCTGACTCTAGAGGCTTTGCTGTGGGCATCATCATGAAGACAGAATTCCAGACAGAGCAAGCAGCTTGGCAAAGGCCCGGACGCTGGAGGGAACTGGGCCTTTCTAAGCTTCCAGCACCGGCTAGACTGGACAAGAAGAACTCAGGCTGCAGGAATCCGGGAGGGCCTGGAGCCCCGGGGAAGGGTGACTGATGTCAGAGAAGTTGAAGAGGTCATGCAGTATCTGCTTTTCAGACCCAGACTCCTGGGTCCACAGTTACAAAAGAACGGGGGGAGGTGCAGCAAGGAGAGAGGAGCAGCCTGGGACCCTGGGGGGCCACCGTGGGCTGCTGTGTGCTCTGTGTATAACATAGAGTACCTCAGAAAGGGACCCAAGCTCACTCCTTACACCCTGACTAGGGCTGTGGGCTCTGCCCTCTCAGAGGAGGCACTTTTAATTCCTACAAGGGCCCCCTGGTGGCCCCCAGGCTTGTAGTCATGGATGTGCGTTTAAATCCCAGCTCATCCATGTCTCAGCTGCAGCTTGAGCAAGCCCCTCCATCAGCACGTGCCTATGTCCTTATTGTTGAAGCTGGGATGGTACCACCTTGTTGGGCTGAGGAGAGCCAGTGGCCAGTGCCACTGTTACTTGGCACGCAATGGTACTGGGAAGTGACAGCTCCCCTCCCCACACACACCTGGCACTGGGGTGGAGCTTCCTGGCCTAGGGTGCCTGGCTAGCTGTAGGGCTTTGATTTTCCTGAAAATGGGAGGAGAAGGAGCTAGGGCAGAATCACAGCTAGTCCTTCCTTACACACCCCTTCCCACCACAATCCTAGATCCTTTCTGGGACCCTGGCTCCTCAGTTCCACAGAATGATGAGCCTGGCAGTGAGAAACATCTGGCTGTGAGACTGGTGTGCTCTAGACCTCAGTATTTCCATCTGAGCAATGGAGGAGGAAAGAAGTCCTGGTCAGCTCTCAGACTCCAGAGAAAGGGAAGTGACAGAACTCTGGATAGGCCTGGCAGGTGCTCAGCATCCCTGGCCACAGGGACACCCACATCTCTGAGCACCTGCCTCTACACACAGGTTCTAGGTCCTGTCTCTCACTTAGTGAGTGACCTCTGTAAGGCCAAAGTAGATATAAAATAAACAGCAGTTACTCTTCAGCCCCTGATGGATTAAGCAGGTTAAGCTTTAAAGAAAGTCTTTAGAGCACAGGTCCAGGATCTATTTTCTGGTCTATATAACTGTCTGGCTGGGTGACTAGGAGCCTGGGCTTGTCCCTCTCAAGGCCTTAGTTCCTCACCTGTAACTTGGGAAGGCTGAGAGGCCCACTGAACCAGGGGGAAATGGCCTACCCAGAAGGAGGGAGGGGAGCCAGGGTCCTCAGGGTACTCACCCATCCCCAGCAGCAGAAGCAGGAAGGAGGCTAGCACCACCCGGCAGTTCTTCTGGATTAGAGGGTGTTGGGTCCAGCTGGATGGGAGAGCAGGATGAATGTGAAAAACGTGGAGGGGGTGGAAGAGCAGTACTTGGAGTCTGGGACATTCTGAGAGGCTCTCACCTGCAGCAGGCATTGTAGGAGCGCTGGGTGGTGTTGCTGATGGTACTAAAAGACCACTGGGAGCTGCGGATGGATGTTCGGCTAGAATCCCTGCAGGACAGGGCCCGGTGAGGGGCAGGGAAAAGCAAGAAAGGGGATCCCTTTGGGCCAGGAGTCCTGAAGAAGTGTGTACATGGGTGGGCGCAGGGTCTGGGGCTGCCCGTCCCCCAGGACTGAGGCCTCTGAAGGGACAGGAAATGAGGATGAACTCAAAGCCTGGGGAGTCTGCAGGACTAGGAGTGGAGGAATGAAAGCTAGGGGTTTCTGCAGCACAGATGACCTGCAGAGAGGTGGGGGAGGGCTCCCCAGGCTAAGGATTCCTACAGCATTAAGACCTGGGAGATGGTAGGTGGATGAGGCCAGGCACTAGGGTAAAGTGACCCTGCTGGACAGGAGACCCCATGATGGGAGTGGGGCTAGGAATCCTTATAGGACCGAACATAGGAGAGCTGAGTGTACTCGGGTTGTGCACTGGTACTCCTTGTGGACAGGCACTACAGCCACGGAGCTCTGGGTACAGGACGGGTCCCCACCTGGCCCTGACCTGGTGTTGATTCCCCCATCTGGTTCCGGAGAAGGCTGGGCTACATCTTCATCATTCTGCAGGTTCTGTTCCAGAACACAGGGTTCAGAGGAGTGGCTGACCTCAGGCCCTTCCTCACTCCCCCCTTGGGGAGAGGAGAAAAGCTGTTTCTCTGGCCACCTGGCAGCTGCTCACCTGGCCCTCCACCCTCCCAGAAGAACGGGTTTGATGATTCATAGAAACCGAAACCCAGGTAGGAAGGGGGTGGATGGTAGGGGAATTGGAAGGTAGGGGTCAGAAAGGATTGGTGGAGGGTTCCCTGCTTGGGTCCCAGGGGCAGGTGACCTCTACAGTTCTGAGGATGACATTTCAGGGGCCCAGCAAAGTAGCTCTGGCTTAGGGGTGGCAGGGAAGGGCCCAGGATTCCCAGGTTTAGGGCACAGGAATTTGGTCTGGGTCCCCAGGAGAAGAATTCTAGCAGTGATGGAGGCGCTCTGAGAAAATGAGGATTTCCTGTTGAGTGGGACACAAGCAGAGCTGTCATGTGAGTGGAAGCCTCCAGCTCAGAGAAGATGGGATGGGGACTTCCAGAGCAGAGAAGAGGATGCTCGTTCCTAGATCTCAGAGAAATGCTCTGCCTGGTGCTGATACACAAGGGCTCTCCAAGCCAGCGGGGCGAGGGCTTGGCCCCCTGGATGGGTGGAGACTCCGGGGGAGCGCGCCACTGGGGCATGAGCTCCCGGGCCGGGCTCTCCAGTGCTGGCTGCGTCCCGAAATCAAAGCTGACAGGGTCCGGGCTGGGCTCTGCATCAGGGGTCACGTTGAGGGCGGTCTCCCGCTCCAGCTGGGACCTCTAGGCAGATTCTCCCCCAGCTGAGGTTCTCCGGGGCCCGGCCTGGGGCGGGGGGGAGGTGGGCCGGGCCCTTCACCTGATAGCGCAGCCGGGACTGCTTGTCTTCGTCGGCTGCCTCGAACCGGGCCCGGCGCTCGAAGTGCAGCGGCCCGAAGCGGGCGACCCCGCTGGACTCAGGCCCAGGACCCGTATCCTCCAGGGACAGCTCGAAGGCGTCATCGATGCTGAACTGGGACCGGGCGGCGCTCATGGCCCCCGCCCGCTCAGACGCCCTGCGCCGCCGCCATCTGCGCCCGCCACCCCGAGTCGTCGCGGCCCCG